CGCCAGAGGTTCGGCCATTTTTAAAACGTGAATGCCACACAAAAGTTTGCGGACTCCCCAAATGTTTGCTTTAGCATTTCATAGGTTTCCTTAGCCGTTTTGGCGAGTCTTTGGCAAAATTTGATTTGTTCATGAAAATCCGCCATTCCGAAATCGCAGGAGGGTCGGTGTAATGCACTACCAAAACGCCCGTAACTAAGAAACAAATGCTAATTCGATGATGCCGGCTGGCACACTGATTCACTATGAATGTAGGCCGCACCCCCTAGCGGCAGAAGCTCGTACTACATCCGGTTCGCCCTCTATTGACACAGTCTTGAAACTTTCCGATCGCACCTCGTACAATATACATTATTTTACGTTAATTTTGAGTTTAGATTTTCAGTCTGAATTTGAATTTCTGTTGAAAATACTGTTATGAATAACTGAAGAATATTATACAAATAAGACCCTAATAATCAGTCAATCAATCAAAATAATCACATACCATTTACATAAAGACACCCTAAACTTCCTTTTGGACTGACACTCATTACAGATGTCAGTCTGATTCTACTTGGCAACGCAGATCACTAAAGCTGCAACATCTGCAGCTTGAATATTTTCAGAAAAGACAAAGTCCCTGACCTCCAATTTCCCACATGTCCTGGCCTTTAACAGCCATGATTGTTGTAATAGGTACAATCAGAATGATGGACAATTGGACAATTGTAATAAAGTCTCCTAAGGAATTATTAATAATTTTGTAAATTTTTGTATCATTAACAGTTACATGAATCTTCACACCTGCGTAACCGGAATGTACACATGATCCCCAGTGCCGAGGAGCCGGAAGTTTCCATACTTTCTCAGTCTCCCTACTGGTTGGTTCCACAGCGAGTGTTTATGCCGATGTTTACTTCCTCGCCTCTCATTCGTCATATCCAATTTTGGTTCCTCTGCAGAACAATCAAAGAACTCTTCATCCTCAGACTCTATAAAGCGAAGGTGAAAGAAAAGCCAATGTTATCGTGTTAATATCGAACTTGAGCAAATCATTAGTAATTATGGATAAGAATATGTTAAATAAGAAAGTAAAACAATTTACTGAAACATAAACAGGAATTTCCAAAACATGTAGGCTGTTTTAATTACATTTTAATTTAAATTAAACTGAATGTTATCAATTGCTGCACCATATGGCTTTTAAATTTATTTAATACCTAAATTACTGACATCTGAACAAGTTAATGAGTTTGTTACATATTTATGGAAAGCAGCTTCCTAAGTATTTATTAAAACACAATTACCCACTGCAATCTGGAGATGTTGAAGAAAGAATGTTAAATAAATCTGAAGCAAAATGACTGTACGCTTACACAGTGGCATTCATCACACGTTATTTCTATTTTTGTGGTACTTCTCAATTTCTTCTCTAGCTTTTATAAACTAAGTCCTCTAACCTCTTCCAATCAAAAATTATTCTGAAACTATAAACCTTTTTATCTTACCATTTACGTACCCCAAAATTCTAACAAATTTCCTTATTTCAAGTATTGTCTGTTCTCGTTACTTCCTTTCACATTTACACATAACAAAATATCTTCTATTAGGAATTGTTCTGCTTATTTTATTATAATTTATTAAGAACTGTTAAAACTCCTAATCGTGTATCAGTAATGAAGCTGCCTAAGCTGGATGCTTTATCTTGCTTGACTGTGTAATTTTTGATTACTATTTTAATTTTGCCACCGGATCCAGAACCAACTCTTCAAGTGCTGGTTGGTGTCTGGCGAGTGCGCTACTGACTCCTATGCTCCTTTCAAGCCAGATTAATGCACTTTCCCATTTGACGGTCATGTAAAAATTCGATCTAGAAAATTCTTCCTTCTACATTTTCATATTATTTTGGGATTTTCTAACGGATTCTGTTGTCATTATGCAACATTTTCCCCACACCATACACATGCTTAATTTAGGACCACACGCTATTTCTGTATGAATATACAACAAACTTTAAAATATGTGCAAATCAGTATTGAACGTTCGTACATAACAAACTCAAAATGTAAACCTACCAGACTCGTAAAGGTCAACTTCCACTAAGCCCGTCTTAGCCGCCTCTTCCCTCGCCATCTTCCTCTCGACACAACAGTTGAGCATCTGTAACTTCTGGTGAATCAGGCACGTTCGTAGATCAGGGAAACCAGGAGCTACTCTAAACATAAGAAAATGAGGAAACCAATGAGAAACCGTGTCTTCATACACAGTCCACAATCAGCAAGCTCTTCCTTTCAGGAGTTGATTTTAAACAAATTCAGATGAACCGATTGCTAAATTTTCCATCGGAGAAGTTCTGAGCAAATAGTGCATGCATCTGAGGATTCCAATAATCAACAAATTTACAAAGTTTGTAGTAACATAACACAGTAAGCAGGATTTGAGTTTTCTACGGCGGCGAGTCTGAACAAGGTTGTCTTCTGGGTTGTTGCGCCGTGTTTACCGACGTTTCAGAGGTTCTTGCTGCCTCCATCATCAGGGCGATGAGTTGAGATAAAATAGGATAAACATTCCTGATATCTCAAAAACCATATTACGTGTGAGGCATAAAACGTATTTTATGTATCCTATTTAGTTCTATTTAAGGCATTTTTCGCTCCGATAAATATTCACGCACGACTTACGCTCGAGACGCGCGGAGGAACGTAGAACTAGGACGTCATGAAACGTTACCGATACTGCTGTCCGATTTCAACCAAAATTGGGATTTCTAAAAAAAATAGAGTAAAACGTCCCAATATCAAATTTGATTTTAAAAAATCCGTTGTGGTTTTCGAGTTGTTCCACGAGGACAGACATGTTCAAGTAGTAGGTGCATTTTTGCAATTTACGGGCACAGTTGCGTGCCGAAGCCTGTTAAGTTTATAGGGTGGGCGGCCATTTTCATGAACAAGACTACCGGCTGAAAAGAAAAACTCTTTTGCGGTTTCCGCCGACATTTGTAAGGTTTGTGGAATACAGAAGAGAGACCTATGCGATGTGGAACAATCTGTGGCTGGAAACAGTTCCATCAGACGAAAAATCGTGAAGCAAAGGCATAGAAGAGTGGCATTTATCCAGCCTCTACAAAGAATGCCAGTCTTCTATTCAAGAGTAAATGCATTTCCTGTCGCAATCAGAATGTCTGAAACAGAAACAAGTAACTAACTCACTCACTCACTCCATGAAACAGAATCCTTTTCGAAAGCTTTTAGTCACTCAAGTAGTCAAGACACTTCCTGCCTATCTAGCACCCTAAATTCGTTACAGTGTTGGCAGTAGCCCACTAGCAGCCTCCACCACGAATAACTTCACATTCTCACTTCCTATCTGTCTTAATATATATACAGACATACCTCGGAGATATTGCGGGTTCGGTTCCAAACCACCGCAATAAAGCGAGTCACACGAATATTTTTGTTTCCCAGTGCATATAAAAGTTGTGTTTACACTATACTGTAGTCTATTAAGTGTGCAGTAGCATTATGTTTAAAAACAATGCGAGAATTACCAAAATGTGACACAGAGACACGAAGTGAGCACATGCTGTTGGAAAAATGGCGCCGATAGACTTGCTAGACGCAGAGTTGCCACAAACCTTCAATTTGTAAGAAATGCAATATCTGCGAAGCGCAATAAAACGAGGTATGACTGTATTCATAATACACCACATATATTACACGTCCCACCCAGTTTTCTCCATCCTCCCTCTCAGGCCCACATGTTCTCTCGAGCACACTGTTCTCGAATTTCCTAAAATGTCCCGAGCATTTCCTGCTCTAGTCACACAAACAAACTTCGCATTTGGAGTTCAGTTGTATTTGTAACATCACACAAATTTCACAGGCCAAGTTGCAATTGTTCAACAGACAGTTATAACTTGTACACGATAATAATCCTATGGCCCCACAAAATTCGGAACATCTCACTACTCGAGCGACTATTAGCGCCTCAAGAAGGGCTCTGGTCCATTAGATCAGCAGAGGCAAACTGTAACGTTGCTTAAGCGTCCGGTCATAAAGATGAGTTGCAAGTGGAGGTGAATCTCCAGGCATTCTTAACCTCAGAATTAGTGTCTCCATCCCTTCTTCAATCCTAACACAAACAAAGCAGTTCGTATCGTTCCGCCACATCGCATGGCCTGTACACTAGCACGCATTTAGGTGGTTCCCGCCAGGTACAGGACAGTCTAGTTTAAAACGTCTAGCAAAGCATAAGCCTACAAATTTTCCTGCCAATTTTATTTCAACAGGAAGACTCACAGTACCCAATTACACTGTCATTTTCTGACGCCAGTAATAATTTAGTCGCTGCGGGGTTTTCTCTGACTACTCCACGCGACCGGCTTCGTTTGAATGATCGTCTATGACGTATTCATTACACATGCCGGCATAACTTTTAACCTGTGCCAGAAGTTCAACTTTCACAGCACTTTCATCGAATGAAATGTTTTTCTCATCCATCCAATCAACAAAGGCTCGAGTCCCCTACGTTTCTTTTTAGCAAACGACGAGTGATAAGGGAAATCAGTTGCTTGTTCACTGGAGCAGACTACAATGTGCGTGTGTGCGTAACGTTCGTGGAAAATAATCGGCGTCGTTGTTAACGTAATCTTAACTATTTTATAGCAAAAGAAGCATAGCTGTGTTTTGATCTTATTTCTAAAACTGAAAGCGTGCATTTGCATGTTGACTTCCAGCTCGAAATGCTTAATCCTTGAGGCCAAGAAGAGAACACAAGGTCAAACTCCAGAAGAATGTCATGAGTTGGAGTCAAGATGAGGGCGGATTCTGTACCTCAGAAACTACGCACGACAACGTTTGTTTGTTTCAGCGGAGATTAGAGAAGCCAAGGCCACAACAACGAAAAACTCTCCTGGGTTCGATTCCCGATGAAGATATTGATCTCAGGGGCAATAGTAATTTTCCTATGGTATTCAACGATAGCCACGGTGGTCTAGCGGTTAGAACGCTGGCCTTGTAATACTGGGGTCTCGGGTTCGATTCCCGGCGGTGCCCGAATTTATAACTTGTGTTGGGCAAGGCCGTGGTCTAGGCAACACGGAGTTTTCCTCCGGGGGCTTCCCCGGTTTCTCCGTGGCATCCCAACAATTACTCCATTCACACACAGAAGAAGGCAATGGCAAACCACTTCTGGATCATCTGCCAATAACGTATATGAACAGGTCCCAGTTCGAGAAAAGGATGGAAGGATCCTGTTCATATGGACCTGTCGTCAGACAGAACACTAAATAATATAATGTAATAATATTCAACGATACGCAACGAATAATCAGGCCTATGGTAAGCTTTGGGGAACTACAGAATGATACGAAAATGTAAGCATTTGTCGAATTCGCCGAAGTAACGCTGTGGACACTCTGGTGGTTCATGAACGTCTTGTGCAGATCCTCAAAACACGCCAAGATACGGGTCACGAACAGTCAAGGCCGGCAACGATACAACGGACGCCAGAACGGAAGTAGGAACGAACAAGCAAGA